ATAATTTGTTTTGTTTTGTCATTTATGAGGTTATCACGATAAAGAAAACATCTCGGTATTGGGTTGATATTTAATTTTACAATTTTCTATTTTTGTTATCATATAATTAAATAACAAATGGTTTTTGTTATCATCTATTTTGTTTAGAGAGCATCTTTTAAATAATAATTATTTTTCAGTTATGCATTTGATTTCTTAAAATATTTTTCTAATTCATTTGTAATTTTTTTAATCTCTTGTATAGATGAATTTTTTTATTTTTTTTATTTTCAAATGATATTTCTAATATGGGCAACCTTCTATAATATTTTTTTATTTTATTTAATCAATTTAATGTGTATATCTATGTCTATTATTATTTGATAGAATAAAAAATTTATTTTAATAAATAAATTTAGCAAACACAACCGAGTAAATATTTTATCTTGCGAGATTGAGTGTCTTGATCTACATCTGTATCTTAAATTTTCAGTTTTATTTTTAGTTATTATTTATATATATATATATATATATTAACACACATAGTTATTAATTAATTAATTTATATATATGTATAGATTTGTTTTATTTTTAGTTACATTCTTTTTAACTAAAAAATCATTTTGAAAGAGCTTGTGTATCTAGTATAGATTAAATTGGTTGTTGCTTGCTAATGTTAGTATTAGACAAACGAGTCCCGGCGAGTCCACTTTTTTGATATATCTAATATTTTTTTTTAGATACTTTCTAAAAATTGTTTTTTTAATTTGATTTTAGGATTTTTCAAATAATTATTTAGAAGAATCTCAAAAATTTAAATTATAGAATAAAAAATAAGTTTATTCAGTTAAAATTTTGTTTTCTTAAATATGTTTTTTTTTTCATAGACATGATTTTTTTGTCAGCATCATTGATTTTTAAACACAAGAATTTAAATTATATAAAGTTAGGAGAAACAAATGTGTTCCCTCATACAAAACTTGTTTAAGTTATTTATTTATTTATTTATATTTTTTATTCATTAGAAGTTTGGTTCTTATTATAAAATTTTATTATGATTTGCAAAGAAATTCTTAACCAATAAAAATAATAATGTCTCAATTATTCTTATACGATTTATAATAATTTATAAGTAATTGTTAAAACTACTAAAAAATCCTTTTAAGGTTATTTAACAAACATGGCAAAGTCTAGTAGGTCATTAAAGGCATGACACATCCAGGCCTAAAAGGACGATCCCATGTGTTTGTCTTAATATAAAAAAGCATAAGCCCATGCGCTTTTTTTCTTTCTTTCTAAATAGGATAGATAACATGTCACTTAATGTATATATTTGTTTTTGAAATAAGATAGATGATATGTTATTTATATTGTGGACGACATATCGAAAAAATAAGGTTTGAGGTTTTGAACCTTTAAAATCAATTTTTCAATTTATTTTAATTTAAAAATATCCCATTTAGTCTTTCTTTTATATTACAATTGGGTTATGTAGATCCATTTCTTTACTCAACATATCAACTAATATTTTCTTTTTAAATTCTCATTGAAATAATGAGCAATAACCAACAAAATGCTAAGAGAGAAGCACAAAAGCCACAATTTATGACTGGAAAGTGGAAAGTGGGCGACCGTCAATGTTGACATAGGGATAGGTGTAGCGGCTTTTTTCTTCAAATGGGAGATTGTCGAGAGTGAAGAACAAAAGCTACACTTTATGACTTCAACGATTTTCTTTTGTTGCATTTATTTTTATTTGTTAATTTTTATAAATATATTTAATTTATTTGAATATCAATACAAATTTATGATTAGAAACAAGATCATTTAATATATCTTACAAAAATTAAGTGTAAAACTCTCTAATTTTATAATAAAAAATTAATGAATAATCTGTATTGTTATTGTTTCAATCATTAGATGCTCGTAATTGATTTCTAGCACTCAAACTCTAGAGTTCATGATGATGTTAGACCACCAAGTATAAAATTAAATAACTCTTTTTAACGAACAATATAAACAACTCACTATAGATTATAAAAAACTCCATCAAGTAGTAATGAAAATGAGATTACATAAAGGCGATCCATGTGCTCTTCCTTCTTGGCTTTACAGTCTTGACGATGACCAGCCTTCTCTTCTTTTTTTAGGATCGCTTCTATTTTAGATTTATTGTATTTGAACAAAAAATAATTAAATTTGTAATAAATATTTAATTTTAATATTATTTTAATTTATTTTTAATACATTTTAATAATTTTTTACTTCTTTTTGATATATATATATACATATTTTAAATATTTTAAATTATTATTGATAGGGTTATCGATGAAACACTTTTATTGACATATTCCATAGAGTTGAAAAATAATTATTGCAAATATCATTTCTATTATTAACTCTCTGATAAAATTATAAATGGTATTCCGTTAATAATATATTATATTTACCAACAAAAAAAAATAAAAACACCAATGGAATTATATATAGTTTTTTTGTCGGTAACATATTAAATTTATTGATGGATTATCTTTGAAATGAAGTAGATAGATTTGTTTTTTGATGCACTTTGTTTATTTGTATATCTATCAATAAATTTATAATTAACAGATCATAAATTGTGAACGAGAATTTTTTTTATAAATTATTTTTCTTCATGATTCTGTCAATAAAATAACAAATTATAAAAGTAAATATTAATGGAAAGTTTTGCCAGTAAAACTGGTGGTAAAATACATATCAACGAATTGTGAGAGTAAATACTCATGGAAAGATCTGTGATAAAACTGTAAAATCGAGAGATTGTTTAGAGTGAAAAACAAAAGCTACACTTCATGAATGGGAATGGGCAGCCATCAACGTTGAAATAGAAAGCATTGATCTAGTACCTTTGTTGGTTAGCCTTCAGCTGTAAAAAAGAGGCCAAATTGAGAGCCAAGAAAGCAGCATAAGCAGCGAAAGAGCCAAACACAAGTGAGAAAAATAGAGGTTGCTGCCTTTATGTCCGCAGCTGCAGCAGCTGGTGCCGTGGGCACCTCATGTAGGCTGGTAAGAATGAGGGATACAGAGAGAAGGGAGACAATTACAAGAGAGTGTGGATACGAGATTTATTCTCCTCTACTATTGGTTATCTCATAAACGTAGACAAGTTGCTGAACTACGTTGTGCTTAACCTCGGAGCAAAGATCAACGATCCTGAACTCTTGCAGCTGTAATAGAAACTATGATGAAGTACCCATTTTCAATTGAGTTTTTTTATCAAGCAAGTTATTTTTTTTATTAATATAGTATCCAGATGAGCTTGCATGTATCTCAACTAATTTCATATCTTTTAAAATTAATGACCATATAAATCTCTAATGATCCTGAAATAACTTAAACTAGCTCATGACGGTTAAGAAGCAAATTCAAGATTTGATCAATTGAATTAACTTTCAGGGTTATAACCAATATGTATTGTATATAAAAAAACTCTTTTTTGATACAATATATGTTGGTTATAATAAATATATATTTTGATTTATACAGGATGTCCGGGCCAGCTTGTATATATCTCGACTGATCTCACGGGTTATGAAATTAACGACCAGATAAATTTTTAGTGGCTATCAATATTAGCAACAACAAAACTCAAACATAAAACCACAAAAGAAACAAACCCCTTAATCCCAAGCTCTTGCCATTAAACCACCTACTAAATGGTTAAGTTTATGTTTTTTTTTTTGGCTGAGTTCCCGATACATTTAGTGTTGAAATTCTATACAAAGTTAACTTGGATTTATTGGTATTTTTGAACCAAGATGTTTTTGATATACAATGAATTTATTAATTTTAAATTTTATGTTCAATTCACTTAAGTTGTGTCCATGGGAAAATAATGTATTAATCACATTTTTAATCTAGCTGATACGTATACACAAATGTACATACACAACATAATATTCACTGCTAAGTTGAATATTTGCTAATTTGGTGTCTCACCATATACTGCATGTTATTCTACTCACATATACAACACAATTCATATTCTTTTGATTAAAAAAATCTATCGTATTTTCTCCAAAAAAGAAAAAAAAAAAGAAATCTGTGGTTAATCTTTCTCTTTGTCTTAAATCAATTAAAGAAATGTTAGTCTACTGGGTGTCCTTGAATCCTTTAATATATTCTAGGCAAAATATAAATAGATAATTTATATTGCAACCAAACTTTAATTAAGATAGAGAAAAGGAAAGAGAATCTTACGAAGATCATAATCTACATTCTTATATGTGTGTGTGTGTCGGGGTGTTACATCATGACTATGTGATTGATGTTGTGCCTTTTGCAATCGTCTTTTAACCAGTGTTTTTTTCAAATTAAATTGTTCTAAGTCAATGTTAAAAATATAAAAAAATTATTTTAATAAATTTTTAAGTTAAAAACAAAAAACAACTACTCCTTCTAAAACCACCCTATTGCTTTTATTATTATTATTATATCAGTAAATAGCTAAAAAAAAAAAACAGTGTTATAATGATTAATTAGAGGACC